CTAATATAAAAAGATAACACTGTATGATCCACCTTCCTTCTCCTACAATGCATGCTTCATTATTAAAGAAAACTATCTTAGAAAAGTACTAATAATCACATATTTTAGACTTAAAAATTTAATCAACTCTTAGAAATATCACTCTCTAGTCTGGCCTAAGAAATCGTACCCAATCTTCATACTCCAGTATAAAACTGTCCTCTATCAAGCTACTGGCCAGCAGCTGAAGTATGTGACAGATCACAGTACAAGACACAATGCTCCTGTTTAGATGCACAGATATTCTCAGGGCAACCAGAACAATTCATCACTGAAAAAAAATTCCAAATGGGGTCAGTGGCTTCTGCACAGAGAACCCTGAAATAACCAAAGGGCTGCTGATGGCCTAACTTCATGATCATACTGCTTTGTTTGCAAAGCTTTACAGCTGTTGCAGGTGAGAAAACACATTATAACTTGACATAACTGGTCAATACATAAGCTAATTTCATCTTCAATAAGTAAGGAGCAGGTAGAAGAAAAATCAAAGAGCCATAATAAAACTTATAAGAGAGGAAAATGAAATAAATTTGCTATCATGAGGAGGTCAGAGGAGGACAAGAGACAGACAAATAGGCAGAAAGAGAGAGAGAATGTGTTTGAGAGACACAGACAGAGAAGGAGAAGCCAGTCCAACAGTGAAACATCTGAGCACAGGAAGGAAGCTGGGTTTGATCCAGGCAAATATGAGAAAGCCCCAAGACATACTGAGCCTAAGCCAGCACCCCCAGATGCTTCTCTGCTACCTGAGGGAATATAAAAATACAGAATACAGGTAGTATTTCAAGTGACACACTCTTGGCTTACTGCACTGATTTTTTGTCACAACAGCATGGCAGTGAATGGCAAAGCTATGGTGGAGAGAGGAAAAATACATCATGCTACCTATGTAAAATACACCCTACTATCCACATGATTTGTATTTCAAATGGATCCCATGATGCATGTGAAACAAACCCTTTATCCATGTGAACTACACTCTATTATCCATGTGAAATACATCACATGATCCATGTGAAATACACTCTATTATCCATGTGAAATACAGCCCCTATCCATGTGAAATACACCCTGGTATCCATGTGAAATACAGCCCTTATCCCTGTGAAATACACTCTATTATCCATGTGTAATACATCACATGATCCATGTGAAATACACTCTATTATCCATGTGAAATACACTTTGCTATCCAGGTGAAACACACCCCACTATCCATGATTTATATTTCGCATGGATCCCATGATGCATGTGAAATACACCCCTTACCCATGTGAAATACATCCCTTACCCATGTGAAACACAGCCCTTATCCATGTGAAATACACCCTGGTATCCAGGGTGATTAAATACACTCTGGTATCCATGTGAAATGCACCCCTAATCCAGGAGAAATACACTCTTGGTATCCAGGTGAAATGCAGCCCTTATCCAGGTGACATACAGCCTTTATCCATGTGAAATACACTCTGGTATCCATGTGAAATACACCCCTTCTCCATGTGAAATACAGCCTTTATCCATGTGAAATATGCTCTGGTATCCATGTGAAATACACCCCATGATCCATGTGAAATACACCCTGCTATCCATGTGAAATACACCCCTTATCCAGGTGAAATACACTCTGGTGTATACACATGGATACACATGGAATTTCTCATGATCCATGTGAAATACAGCCCTTACCATGTGAAATACAGCCCTTATCCATGGGAAATACATCCTGTATCCAGGTGAAATACAGCCTTTATCCATGTGAAATACACCCTGCTCCCTCTGTGCAGCACATCACCAAGGGGCTCATGCTCTGGTGCCACAGAATTTCCCCTTCCTCACATCCCACCTTGCAGGAGCTGTCACCAAAGGCATCCCAGAGCTGCAGAACCAACTGTGCAGGAGGAAGAGATTGGAATTTGTTTGAAGCAGATGGCCCTGAAGGCAGAGGCCCAGCAAGGCTGCTCTGGCCGAGGTGGCTCTGGAGGGGACATTCCCCTGCAGGGAGGGGACAGCTTGCAGAAGGAGCCAGCCTGGTGGGTGACAGCAGTGCCAGCAGCCCCTGGCACTCTCCCTGATGGTGAGGGGCCATCTAGTCCCAGCCCCACTCTGTCCCTGACTTTCCCCTTCTCCTCAGTAACACAAACCCTACCAGACATATTTCCAAACCTATCTCCAGGCAACTGCTGAATTCTGCACCTTCACCTCCAGCTCCGAGCCAAATGCTCAAACAAGAGAAATCTGGAATAGCGTCTCCACTGCTCTCAGGTGACCTACATGCACCATTTGAATCAGATTTCTAATAATTTTTTAAATAATACCAATAATATGTTATATAATTATAATATATATTTATAAAATAATTTATAATTTGTAAAACTCAAGCTGAACAACATTTTTGAAAGACTGACACCCAGGTGTGACTCAGTTTACCTCAATATATCTGCACATAACTCTGATTTCAACAACATTATCTGGAGAGATTTTCCTCCTAATGCAAACACCATGGTGCAGGACCCATCCACAGGCAATCCAGCAACTTGGGTTCTATTTACGGCACTTTTCTATCATTGTTTCAGTTCTTTTCCCACTTGGCATGCAGCATTCAAAATCTATTTCCAAAGAAACATTTCTCATAAAACCATAAAGCATCGCTATTTTTGCATAGGGTTCAAAGAGTAAAGAGGAATCAGATTTTCAGTGTTGTGTTTCTTCTTTTCCCAAATTATGAGTCTATTCTTTCCCTCTGAACCATCCAGCAGCACCAGTTTTGGACTGGTGTGCTCTGATGGAGCCCATTTCACAGTGAAGGAAAAGCTGAAGGGTTTTGGCTGCTGTGATATTCCCACTGCCATAAAAGTAAAAAGGGCTTGATGTCCTGAACCTGTACTTCAACAGAGCAGTTCATCACTTTGAATTTCAGCTCTTCCTAACTGGAAGGGATGCCAAGGTGGCTCTCCCTGCCAGCTCCTGGTTACAGTAATTCACAAAATCTTAATTTCTACAAAATTCCATTGCACAGAGTTCGCTCCTCACCGCCTGTCCCGGTTTGACTTCATATTCACACATTAACAAATTATGCTGTAAAATCAGATATAAGAGCTGTAATGGGGAGAAGGGAAGATTTATATCCTCTTTAAACTAGCTGTCCATGTAGGTTTTTATCGAACTAGCATGCACTAAGCTGAGTTCTCAGCTAAATCCACCACTAAAATGAGGTCTCCAAATGAATTTCTTTTTCAGTACATTTCATTTCATTTCCCAAATGAGAGTTACAAGGATACAGTTGATGGACTGTCTCACTGAAAATTTCTTTCCTTGAATTTTCATGATTTTGTATTTTTTACAAAAGCAGGCAGATCATGAGAGAATGCCTATATCCTCTTGGTCCAACAGGGAACTGTTAAAAACCTTGTCACTTTTGGAAGTCTCAGTCTGCACAGACAACCCCATTTAAATGAGTTCTGTTCACATTACATTTCTCATTCAGCAATTATTATCTCTTCTCCTGACTTAAACAACTCATTTTCCTCCACTTCACTGTATCATAAATCCAAATAGCTGAACTCATGCTCCATCTGAAACTTCATTTCACAAGAGGAAAGAAAAAAAAAAAAAAGCTGTGGTTGCCTCTTTGGTAAAATTAGCTTCTGCTAATAGCTTCATTCATTTATCCATTTGTTTTATCCTTCCTCTCCCAAGACTGTTACATTTCTAAACTTTTCCTTTAGTTAAACTTTTGATATAACTTATCAGATATTCTACCCACCATTTCCACTGGTATCCAGGTTAAATACACTCTACAGCGTAGAATTTGCTGAGCACTCTGAAATACCTGAACTATCATGTCTCAATGAGCACTATGCACAACTTCATTTTCCACATGCCCATAACATTTCAGAACACCTTTGGGCTGGGCATTAATTAATCATGGTTGAGTGGGGTCAAACCTTTCTTCTTTCTCTAAATGCAACCATTTCTCTTAGTCACATGTAAATGGAACAACAGAAAAAAGGCATTCCTAAAACACTTTTGGCAGGAGCAGCTCTACTGTATTTCCATCAGCCAATCCGTGTACCCATAGGATAAAGCTTTGGGGCTCTCAGGTTGTGAGAGATAAAGAATAAAACAGCACAAGACTCACAGTCAATGTTCAGATTCACATCATCTCCATAACAAGCCCTCTGTGTCACCACTGGGGTTGCAAAACCACCTCCAAACTTATGTGTGGTATCTTTTTTTTTCCACAGCATACACACTACCATGCTGCTCCTCCTCCACCACATCCTTCCTTTCAACCCAACTCAGACGTTTCTTTTTTTCACTTTTTGTCATTTGTTTCTTTTGTTCTTTTTCTCCTCCTTTTAGGAAAATGTATTTCAATTCTACAAGAACCAAGTGCAGTTCCAGAGACTTGATGAATAGACCCAACATACAGACACATGATTTGTGAGTATCATCAGCCCCATTTATCAAAGTGGAAACTTGTACAACAGCAAAGTGCATTGGCTCCCTAAGAATCCCTGTTTCAGTCCCTGGGATAAAATCTGCTCCTCACGTTCTGAAGTCCAATCATTTGTCAACAGACTCAGATTTGCATTTTCTATTTCCTTTCCTTTGTATTCCAGTCAGCTGTAGAGCAATTCCCTTGAGAAATACCAAATTATCCACACATAATTGATTTCTTATGTTGATATCATTGGCAATGTTAAAGCAGAAGAAGTAATTTGAGAACCAAAATGTTAACTGGAATCCAATAATTCTCACAAAGCTGCAAAAACCCAACAATTTGATCTCCTCCCATACAGTTTAGCAACAACAAAACCAAACAGGATCGCTGTGTTTGCGTTCGAACGCGACACAGCCATTTTCCACTTTGCTTTTTTTTTTATGGGAACATAAAACCAGAGATAAATAAGGAGACATGAGATAGACATGAGATAAATGAGGATTGGCAGCATTACCAGAGCAGACAAAGTCCTTCTTCTGCACCTCTGCCACGAGGAAGCCGCGCAGGCCGACGGGCGCCAGGCAGAAGGTGAACTGGCCGATGGTGCGGCGCTGGCGCAGCCAGTCCGACAGCCAGGCCAGGTGGCAGTCACAGTGCAGGAAGTTGGAGTGCAGCCGCCTGCAAAACACACCAAACACACAGTTACTGGGGGCTTCTGGACAAAGCACACACCAAACACGCAGTTAGTGGGGTTTTCTCAACAAAACACACCAAGGGAGCCATCACCGCCAGCCTGCCCTGCTCTCTGCTGCTACTTCAGCGGGATCACTCCCAATTCTTGCTTACACATGAGTCAGGGCTTGGCTGTCCTCAATATTATACAGAGGTCAGATATTAGTTTGTGTTGTTATTTGCAATGTTTTCAAAAAATTCAGTTCAACGGTGATCCATCTACAGCTGGCTATTCTAAAGACAAAAATGCGCAGAATTTAGGATTTCTCCATGTAATCGCTTTGTCTGTGATTTCACATCAGAAAGAGTTGCATCAATGTGATATCTCTGAGTGAATTCAAAGAATGGCCTGTCTAAACATGAGGAGCAGGCTCAAGAACAGGATGATGAGTGAGTCTCCCCTCTTCATCCATTGGGAAAAGGTGGAGAGAGAGAACCTGCCCACATTAGCTGCACTGACTGGAGCATAGTGCTAATAACAACAAGGTTATGGTGTTATTTGGATCTGATCCCTGTATGGGCCATTCACTGAAGACTTGGACTTGATGACTCTTATGGATCCCTTCCAACTCTGAATATTCTGGGAAAAGATAGGCAAAATCAAACTTCAGAGGCTATTGGTACCATTTCTGTTCCTGTGTTGCCTGAACAAGTTCATCAATGCTCTTTTTCCTGTAGTAATTTAACACAAGTGTAAAGGATCTACAAGGAATTTTCAGCTCATGAAAGATCCAGTTATGGGCAGCTCCCTGTCAGGATTTGCAGAACCATTATCCCATGTGCAAAATGATGATGGGTTCAGGGACCAAATCTGGTCATTGAAATAGCCACCAAACTTTAGGTCAAAAACAAAAGTCCAGGACATGAATTATTTCATTCCTGTAATGACTCATGCATTTGGAGTGTTGCACCAAATGAAATCATGAACCAGATTAAAAATCCTGTCAGAAACGGTTAGACAAAGCATTATTCACTAATATTACAGGCACACAATTGGTGTGCAGCAGATTTAGCCTTGTCCATGCTCCAAAGCAATGAACAGTCTGTCTGTGAGCTGTCCCTGCAGCACAACAGCAGCTCAGCCCTGCAGTGGCGCCCGGGCTGACAGTCCCAGATTTGTATGTCTGGGGTGGACAGCCACAATAAAGGAAAAGGAAAAAAAAAAAACCACAAATCTGGAGCTGGGGGTTTATCCTGTAGAGATGGAAAGCACTAATCTCCTGGGAGTACTGTAAAATGTAATTGTTCTACAAGGATGGCTAGAAGACCTTGAGTTTAGAGATTGTGAAGCTTTTTAATTGGAGCTGCAGCAAGTTAGATTTCTAGTAAAATGTTCAGCTGTTATGAACCATTAATTTGCCTTTTTGTTGCAGAACAAAAAAATACATAAATGTGGTCTAGCCAGAAATCATCCTAAGTCAGAATTTGTTGTAACCTGAGAGAGTCATTGTTTTATTTAAGCCTTCAGAGTCTCATCCTTCCCAACACAGCAATCAACAATGATACTCAGGATCTGCTTCCTTCTGGAACTGACCTCATCCCATGCCATTCCCTGCACCCCCTGCGTGCAGGCATCAGTGAGAAAAGCACTATTTCACACAAAGGGTTAGGTTAGGCAGTTCTCCAGTTCTGTGAGCTGGTTTTCCCCCTCAATAAATTGATTTATCTGGGTTTTGGGGGTTCCTGTTTCAGCACTGCAAACCACCAGCTCTCTGCCTCAGCAGAGCCCTCCTTGTCTTTTGGCACAGCTACTCCACTTGGAGAGGAGATCATTGAGAGATCCCATCTCAACAAAGCAGCCTAGCAGAATATATTTTTGATAATTATACTAATAAATACAGCCTCAAGAAGACTTTTCACAGTACTTCAAAAATATTATAAACCAATTCCCTGGGAACACATAAAACGCTGAAGTGCTTTCACACATTTTTAGTTTACCCTTAAATAAAAAAATGAAAATAAATAATGTAATTACCTGTCTCAGCAGTAATTCACAGATGCAGAGACAACAGGACACTTATCATTAAGCAAATAGGTAGAGGGGACATGCTTTATCATAAATAAAGCTGTTTCAAGCAAAGGAAAGCAGATCAATAAAAACTAATTCCTGTCACTTCCAATCAAGGCTAAAAATCAATGAAACTTAAGAACAGAACAGACAGTTAACTAAAAAATCTTAGCACAGAAGAGCTGATTTTAGCAAAGAATTCTTCAAATGCTACAAAACTTCCCAGCATTTTATCCTTTTTCTTCTTTCCCCTGAGTGCTCATGTTGAAGGTTAATCTACTTTTTATATTTTCTCTCTGTCCTACCATAGGCAGATTGTTTTGAGAGCCATGAAGAAGAAAAGCTGTTTATTCACAGAACCACCAGAGCACACTAGCTGTAGCAGCATCCCCAAATGTCCTGCTAATGGATCTCACCAGAGTGTAAAAGAGGCACAAAGGAAAACACAGTCCACACTGCACTGGGCCTCAGCTGACTGGGAAAAGGGCTCATCCCCACTTAAGGAACATTCAGAGCAGGCATTTCCTACAAAAACTTCCCAAAAAAAAGCACATCTAAGTGTCAGGCTGTTTGAGAAAGTGGACACACTGATGACCATTTTTTAAGCAAACAGCGAACTCACCAAACTGTGAGGAGCATCATTGATTATACATTCCAACAAGAAACTTGAGAAAATATTACCACCTTCCCCCAAAGAGTATCTTTACACAAATTCCTACATTGCCCTGCTAGGGGTGCTGTGTGTTATTTGTCAGTCTGTGGAGACTGGAACCTGTCATTTGATATTGATGAAACTGACTTTACAGAACATCAGGTGAATGAATACAAATGCAAGTTTGCCTAAGTTGCCCTTTTATCCATAGTCCCGAAATTAAATTTCCAGCAAATCCTTTTAGAGTGGGGCAGCATTCATGTTTAATAAAATGTGTCTCTCAGAATTCAATAGAAAAGCTTCCCTTTATAAATCCTATTTATGACTTCTTTCCTTTTTTTTTTTTTTTTTTTTCCCCCTTAATTACAGCAGAGGGGGATTAGTCAGTGTAAGTCTCCAGGGAGCTATATACAAAGCCATCTCTGAAATTAAACTAAAGGGAAAATGGCAGAAGACACTGAAGGCACAGAGCTCTGCTAACAGACAAGAGTGGCTAATCTGGAAAAGCCAGGCAAATTTTCTGAATAAGAAAAGGCAAAATTCCAGGAACCTTAACTCTACACCTTTATCTTCTTTAGCCATTCTCTTCTAAAAGACAAATATCTCATTTCCATTTAATTACTTACATTAAGATCTAATAATGTCATCATTTGATGAAGAATGCAAATTTAAGTCAGAGGTTATCTTACAGAGATTGACATAAGTAAGAGCCATTTTCCTTCAGTTCTGTTAATTTATTTAATATGGTTTTACACATGCATGCATAGCATCCCTGAAGTATTGTATTTTTTCAGTGGCACAGAAAATTTTCAGGCTAGCTACTATTTCCCTTTCTTTGCCTCTAGAATTAAATACATTTTGGATGAGTTTGAGAATCTGGAGGAAAAACAGGGGTGCTTTGTTTAGACGTGACTTTTCCTGAAGCTGTGTATTCCCTAAAGGAATTTAAAGAAATAATTTACTTAAGGAAATGGTTTTGGTAGGCTATGGCTAAATTATACAAATGCTTAGTCTAATTTCACAGTCTTTGTATTTTGATCTACTAAAGAACAGAGCTTTTCCAGTGCAATGGCATGCAGCTCAAAAACAAATGGATTTGAAATAAGAGAAGCTTTTATTAAAAAAAAATCCATCAGAATAAGTGGCATTTTGTTTCAGAAAGTATCTAGAAAGATGCTTTTTTCATCTTCTTTAAAAATGCCTTGTTTCAGAAATTAACATTCTGAATTTGAAAAGAATAAATGGGATTTAAACACAGGATATTAACAAAATTCAATAATTTGATCCATCTGAGCAGATTTTACGATCTTGCTGATGCTCCAGTTTGGAACACATTTCACATTATGGATTTTCCCATGGGAAAAAAAAAAAAAAAAGCCAGTTTATTTTCTGGGCAAATTCAAAATCTTGATAAAACTGACTGTTACTTAATGCTGGGCAGATCCAGCACAGAGGCTCTCAGGGCTCTG